GTGGACCTCCCTCCCACTGACCAACCAGGCCAGGGGGTGAATACAGTTTCAAGGTTTTCTTTCCCAGATAATGGAAACAATACATAGAATTTCAAGGGCTCCTCCCATCTCCTGTGCTATCATGGTGTTTCTTGAGATATTCTGAACACGTGGAAATATTATCAGATCAGGCTCAGGACTGCTGAGTCAGTGGATGAGAAAGTCTCCCTCCTACTCCCTGCCTTGGTTTGCTTTCTATCCTACTTAACAGGACAACGCTCCAACCAACTGAGCCATATTCACCAGGGCTCAGCAACATTTTTTAAAATAAAACAAGCTAAATTTCAGTTCACCTATTACAATAAGAAAAAATAAAAGATGTGTTGTATTATGAAGCTACAAGAAGTAAAACAGTGGAGTAATGCCCTCTGAACAGATAAACTGATGGAAAATATAAGGTCCAGTAATAAATGCAGATCCATACGGAAATTGTGTTCTGTTTTAATTTTTTTTAATTTATTGATTTATTTCTTCATTTGGAACATCTATCATTTGCTCCTCGCATGCCCCCAACTGGGGACCTGGCCCACAACCTAGGCATGTGCTCTCACTGGGAATGGAACTGGCGACCTTTTGGTTTGCAGGTAGACTCCCAAGCCACTAAGCCACATCAGCCAGAGCCATTGGTTGAGTCTTGCATATGCCTTGACCAGGGATTGAACCGCCAATCTTGTTTTCCATACATAACACACACACACACACACACACACACACACACACACACACACACACACCCAACCCCACATACACATGTAGAAAATATAAAAAAAACTTAACATGAGCCCCGGCTGGTGTGGCTCAGTGAACTGAGCATGGGCTAGCAAACTGAAAGTTCACTGGTTGGATTCCCAGTCAGGGCACAAGCCTGGATTGTGGGCCAAATTCTCAGTAAGGGGCAAGTGAGAGGCAACCAATGGATGCATCTCTTACATACATCAGCACATTGTTGTTTCTCTCCCTCTTTTTCTCTGTCCCTTCTCCTCTCTCTAAAAATAAATAACTAAAATATCTTTTTAAAAAAACTTAACATGAACAGCAAACTTGGATTCAACATTTAGGGATGATCCACTATACCCAAGCAACTAACTTTTCCTTCTTATCTGCATTAAAATGTTATTACAGATGTGAACACCAGATGGCAGAAAAGAGGCACACTTGGAACTTTTTTACCTGATCATACAGTACTGTAAAACAAGTTTCAACAAATTTCAAAACATTGAAATTATATAAAGCATATTATTGGCACTAATTGCAGTTAATCTAGAAATCAGTAACAAAGGGTTATTTAAAAATCCTTCTTTTTAAAGTGATGAAATGCACATCTAAATAACATTGGATTCAACATTCCTATGTGATTCACTATACCCACTATTTTCCTGCTGACCTGCAGTTATTCCAAAGTTTAACATGAGATGGCAGCTTCTCTAAGCACACTGGTACTATGCAGCAAGTTTCAACAAACTTCAAAGGATTGAAATTATATAAAGTAACATTTTTTGTTCTAGTTGCATTTACTTTAGAAATCAGTAACAAAAGATGACTGAAAAGGCCTTATACTTAGAAAGTATGAAATACACTTCTGCCCTGGCTGGCTGGTATGGTTCAGTGGACTAAGTGTCAGCTTTCGAACTAAAAGGTCACATGTTGGATTCCCTGATCAGGGCACATGTCCAGGCTGTGGGCCAGGTCCCCAGTTAGGGGTGTGTGAGAGGCAACCATTTGATGTTTCTTTCCCTCTCTTTCTCCTTCCCTGTCCTGTCCTCAAATAGCCAAGACCGACCAAGGGCAGGAAGAGATGCCCACTTTACAACGCTGAGTTCCTCCTCGCATCAACATGATCCCACTGTCAACGTTTTAAAACCCTCTGCAGGCACATATGTACCAATGTTCAGAAAAGGGTCCTGGAAAACAACTCCCAACCGACAATTCTGAGGAAAGTACTAGAGGACAACATCCAGTTTTTCTTTTGTAAATCTGTGCAGACTGAATTGGATTTTTCTTCTTCTTTGCAACATCCATTTGTTACCATTGCAACCTCAAAAACTAATGAAGATTGTTTTCAATTCCAATGCATTTTTAAAAAGGGCTGGTTCGCCCTCCCCAAACTCGGGAGGCCCCACCCATACCCCACAACCGCCAGATGAGGAGGTGACAGCTGGAGGAAAGGACTCTCTGGGCACGGGCCGTGTGACCAGGACAATCCTGTAGAGCCTCGACCCGGGAGGGTGTGGATTTTAAACTCTGTGCTTTCACGGGGAGCTTCCTCTCACTTTGTGAAAGTAACCCGCGAGCGCACAGGTGCAGTGGGTGCAAAGAGGGGAATAGCCCTGGGCTGCGAAAGTGTGTGAATGAAACGGTAACCGCCAAACAAAGGCCAGGGAACTTCGGTTGAGCGGGAGAACGGCGCCGGTACACAGGCAGATACCCGGAACCACGGCGAAAGCCAGACTCAGACTGGAACCACATCCAGGGCAGGCCCTGCCCCGCCAGACTGCAAGTCCCACGCACTGCTTTGCCCTACAGACTCACTAGGGCTCCTAGGGAGGAGGGTGGTGCTTCTCCGCCCACTTCACCTACTGCCCTCGGGCTGGCCACACACCCTAACCCAGGCCTCTCGGGCAACTCTGGCCGCAACATGCCCGGATTCACGGCCCCCGAGAGTCACTCTAGGGCCCGAGAATAGGGACCTTTCGGTCGCCCTAAGGACTGCTTCTGGCGCTTTGCGCTCTCCTCCCCGCCCCAAGCCCTCACGCGCGACCAGACTTTTCCCCGACATTCCACGCAGGAGCACGAAAGTGAGATGGTGGGAGGTGTCAGTTGTTTCTGCCTCTCCATGGCAACGGCCCGCACCGGAAGTGAAAGATGTGTGAGACAGGTTCTGTCGGCAACGTTCTCTGGGAAACGCAGTCCTCTGCCCGTCAGAAAGTCAACCCGTGGAGTTGCAGAGACTACATTTCCCAAAGGTGCGAGCACCTGCGCTGAGAGCCGCAGTGATGCACGCAGCTGCCCGGATAAGTTCAACAGAGGCCTGCAAGAAGACAGTGGGTGGTTGAGCGAATCCTGGGCCCTCCTCTGAGTGTTGGTAGAAGGCCAGAAGTTAATGTTTTTGGCTCGGAGTAGAGCACCCTGGAGCCAGACAGAGCACCCATGTCGGTCGTGTCCGCAACGCAGTGCCTTTGTGACCTCGAGTTCGCTTGCTTCTCGAGCGAGCGCCGGAGGCCGCCACCTCCTACTCCTACGCCTCCATACTCCTACTTTGGGATTTGACCTCAACACCTCACACCTGGTCATCTGGCTCCTTCAGGCCTTGTACCGCTCTAAGACTCTATTGGAGCAGCTACTTCCTCTGAGAGGTCCTTCACCTACCCGCCCACCATAGTGGGCCTCCCCTGACAAGCTCCTCTGTGACACAGAGGAGCATTTTGAAATGGTTGTCAGCCACGTCCCTGAAAGCTGGGGCACCACCTCCCTAGAAAACCTTCCCTGTCATGTCCTGTCACTCCAGCTATGTTGAGGTCCCTCCAAAGTCACCCATTACAGCCCATGTCAGATAGAATCTAACAGCCTCTGGACTGGTAGCTCCTGAGGCTAGTCTCACCCAACCTGGTCTCCCCAGCACATGTGAACATTTCACATGCCCATAATTTGTGCAATTCATCAATCCAGTCAGTCACCCAGGTCCTAAGAAAAGCTCCCTCTCTTCTTGCCCTCCCTCTGGCTGCTCATGAGGCTAGTCTCACCCAACCTGGTCTCCCCAGCACATGTGAACATTTCACATGCCCATAATTTGTGCAATTCATCAATCCAGTCAGTCACCCAGGTCCTAAGAAAAGCTCCCTCTCTTCTTGCCCTCCCTCTGGCTGCTCATTCTAGGAAACAAGTAGACTTACCTAACCTTTTGCCCAGTAAGGCTGGGCACTCAAGATCTTCCCTGGCTCCCAACCCTGTCATATATTGACAGGCCCATCACTGCAGGTGTTAGCTGGGACAGAAATGGCAGAACTCCTTTCTCGACTCTATTTCTTGGTGTGTGTGTGTGTGTGTGTGTACATACAAATGCACGTACCTGTGTTGAAAAGAATCCAGGAAACCAGACATCCTTGTCTCACCACCTGTGGCTCATCTGGCTGGAGCACAAGAACCTTCCCTTGCTGGCTAGCTGTTTTGGTATCCCAGGTAGTGTGTCTGCAGAGTCAGACAGACATCCCAGAGTGCCTGTTTTAGAGTTTGAGGGACAGGAGAACAAGCTAGGATGAGGAGAGAAACAAAACTGTCCAGGGGACCCATCCATTACAATCAAGCCGTCTAACAGCTGATCCTGCAGCAGCCACTGGGCCTTTATAGTGGATCAGATTTTCCAAAAAGAGCTAGACCAGGAGACCATCAGTCACAAAAGGTGTAGCCTCAGAGGCTGGAGAGAAGCCAAGACAACCATGCCACAGAAACCCAGGGGAGAAAACATCTTCAAATCAATGCAGTGGATGGACCCTGGTTTCAAAAGCCACAGTGACCAACACGTGCCCATGGGCTTGGACACAGGGACCAGACAGGCCTCTGACAAGAGGCCACAGAAGCCAGAGAAGGTGAGGATGGGATAAAAAGCAAGGAAATGCTGAGAGCAGGAAAACTTCATCTAAAGTTGGGTAGGACGGGTCACCACAATGGTGCAGGAAGTGAGAGGTCAGGGTTGGCAAATGGGAAATGCTGGTCTCCGCTCTGGCACTCCTGGGCCCCACAGCTCTTCAGCCAGTCAGAGAACGCCACCCTCCTAACCCCCAAGCCCAGTGGGCTATGTGTCACTGTAAAAACACAAACAAACAAAAAGGCCCTGGCTGGTGTGGCTGAGTAGATTGAGTGTCAGCCTGTGAACCAAAGGGTCACTGGTTCAATTCCTACTCAGTGCACATGCCTGGGTTGTGGGCCAGGTCCCCAGTAGGGGGTCTGAGAGAAGCAACCACACATTGATGTTTCTCTCCCTATTTCTCTTCCCCTCTTTCTAAAATTAAATTTAAAAATTTTTACAAAAATTAAAAAACCCACAGGATGTAAGATATGAGAACCATGAGGGAGAAGTGGCAGTATCTGCTCTCCAGAAACAAAATGTCATTCAACAGTGCTCATCTGAGGTCAGGCTCAAGCCCCAAGCCATGCAGGCCAGCTGCAGAGGTCTGTCCTTCAGGGCCTGTGTCCTTAGCCACTTGCCCACCCTCTGTAGGTTAGCGCAGACTTCCTGCCAACTCCCTTGTGGCCACCACCTCAGGACCTGCTGAGGATGCAGCTGCCCGAGCCTGTCGCCTCCTTTCCCAGTGCAGTTCCCAGAGGTGGGCAAGGGCACAGTGGACACTCCAGGATACTTTCAGGCTGCACTCCTGGTTGGGATCATTCTCCATGAGGACCTGCAAGCCAGCAGTGAAGTGGGACAGGGCCTGGGCCAGGTGCTGAGGGCTCAGTGCACCCACATCAGCTTCCTCAGTCCCCACACCCACTGTGGCTTCAGAGAAATCCAGTTCTGGTGTTTTGGAGGGTAGGCATTTCCTTGCTTCCCAGGGCAGCCCAGAACTGTTAGTATCTCCATCCTTTGCAACCTGGGGGTTTCCCCAAAGGTGGGGGTTCCACATGGGCCTGCAGCAGGCTGATAACATCGGCCTCTGCTATGTCCCCAAGGCCCACATGGCTGGCCAGTGCCACAATGCTGCGGCGGAGCTGGGGCACGGTGTCGGGCTCCAAAGTACTGGCAGGCACACACTCAGGCCAGAGCTTCCTCCAGGCACTGTTCAGAGTATTGGGCTGAAGCTCTGCCCAGGCCTGGGCAATGTTGTCTACTGCAGTCATGACAGTATAGCTGCGCCAGAACTCCCACATGGAAGGCCGGTCTCCACCAGCCTTCTTCTGGACCAAATGGCTAAGTGTGAGGCGTAGGTAATGGGCCTTGAAGGCAGCAATGATGCTCTGGTTCATGGGCTGGATCAGGGTCGATGTGTTCTTGGGTAGGAACTCAACGCGCACATGGGCTGAGAGACTACCCAGATGGGTGGGATGGCAAGGTGCACTGTCCAGGAGCAGCAAGGCACGGTGTGGAAGACCGTGGCTGGCGCAGTAGCTCTCCACAGCAGGGCAGAAGCAGCCAGTAAACCAGTCCTGGAAGATGTTGGGTGTCAGCCAGTCATTGCCGTTGGAGCACCAGACTACAGGCAGGCTGGCCTTGGAGCAGCCCTTGAGGGTGCGTGGGTTCTCTGAGGGGTACACCAGCAGGGGCTTCAGTTTGAAGTCACCAGCTGCGTTGGCACCCAGCAGCAGGGACAGGTGGTCCTTAGGGGCCTTGGGCCCAGGCCTGGCTGCACCTTCCAGAGCCAGCAGCATGCGCTCAGGCAGCCTCTTCCAGAAAAGGCCTGTCTCATCAACGTTGAAGACTTGGCGTGGTGAGTAGCAACCCTCCTCCAGAATGGTATGTAGCACTGGGAGGTAGCAGGCTGCAGCCTGGGCATCAGCCACAGCAGGCTCATCCGTCAGTAGTACATTGTGGCGTGCCTTGAAACGAGCAAACCAGCCATTACTGGCCCCAAAGGTGTCAGCCTGGGCACCATTGCCCTGCTCATGCTGCAGCTGAGCGAAGAGATGTCGTGCCTTGTCCTGGATAAGCAGTGTGCTGACAGGCAGGTTATGCTGTTTCTGCTCCTCAATCCACAGGCTCAGCAGACGTTCCATATGACCCATCACCACACCCCGGCAGCGGGTCAGCTGCTTGGCACTGATGGGTGTAGCTGCCTGAGAATTAGCTCGGATCTTGTCCTTGTTGACACGGATTGAGGCAACAGTGGAGGTGGCTAGCCCTAGAGTCCGAGCAATCTGTGTCAACTTTTCACCTTCTTCAAATCTCCGAAGCACCTCCAACTTCACATGCAAGGTGATGGACTTCCGGTCCCGCTTGGCACTGTGGCGAAGGCAAATACCACCAAGGGGTGCCTTCCCTGACACCTGAAGGTGAGAATTTGTCTTCATTCCACCTCCTCGCACCATGCACCTTGACGACCTCTGTACCTCTTGCCCCTCCACAGTAGCTACCACTGTGCCCACAATGGTTTCCTCTTGGCCTCTCTGTAAGAGGGGGGTATATAAGCATTAATATGTGAACACATGGGAGTCCCAACCACTGCCCAGCCTTCCCATGCTCTCACACAGAGCACTGAACCCTGCTCAGGGGCATGCCCGTCCCTTCCCTTCCTACTGCTAAAAGCACTGCACACTCACATCCAGGCACTCTTTGTTTCTAGAAGTCCGTGGTGTCACTTAGTTTTAGCTCATGAGATCAAAACACAGCTGAGACTTCACTCTTCCCTCCCTGCCCCTGCAAATCTCCTAAGAGCATCTGGAAACCCTGACCCACCTCCCTGACATGGATGAGCAGATGAGCTACCCAGCTCCACATCTCTCACTCAGAGACATGGGTTATCAGAGTGGGAGGCTGAATAAGGATGTGTCCTGAAGACATCTGCATCCTAATACCAGGAACCTACGAGTAAATCACTTTACATGGCAAAAGAGACTTTGTGGGTTGTGATTAAATTAATCCTGAATGAGGGAGATTATCCCGGGTTATCAGAATGGACCCTAAATGTCATCACAGGGGTCCTTGTAACAGTAGGCAGATTTCACTCAGAAGGCAGCGTGAACACAGAATCCTATAGCCTATGGAAGGAACGAGTCCTATCAGCACCTTGATTTTGGCCCACAGAGACCCACTTCAGATTTCTGACCTCCGAGACTCTAAAATGATAAATCTGTATTGCTTTAAAGCACTAAGTTTGTAGTGATATGCCACAGCCATCATAGGCAACTCTCACAGAAGGGAACTTCCCTAACTCCGACCACCACTGGGGAGTACTTGGGGATAGGGGAGGAAGGTGGTTCTCCACATAGAGTCAATAAGAATCCAGTCAGATCCAGTCACCCTCTGCTCAGAGCCCTTCCTGCCTCCCCTCTCTCCCTGAGGAAAAGCCACTACATTCTCACTTTCCTCAAGCCTCCTCCTCTTCTTTGCTAACTCCTGACTCAGGCCTTTGCTCCTGTGGTTCCTTTCGCCCAGAGCTAGGGCTCTTTCCTCTTGTCTATACAACTTGTTCCCTCTCCTCCTGCAGATCTCTGCTCGAATGTAACCTCCACACCTAAGTTTTACTGTGCACCTGTCATACACTGCCCGAGGGCAGGAGCCCTGTCTGCAGAACTGTCTGCTGCATCCCCAAAGCCAGGAATAATAGTGCCTGGTACTTTGCAGGCACCCTGTAGGCGCTTGCTGAGTAAATTATTAAATGAAGTACAATGGTAAGACTGGCTTCCTGCCCTGTCCCTTTTACACTTTCAACCCTGTGAAAGTAGCACCTAACCAAAACAATAAAGTTGTTTTTGAAGGAGTGCCACGTGAAAAGGAGGGACAAATGGCTAACGGGTCTCTGTATTTGGAGTGGCTCTGGCATCTAGAACGAGTACCTTCAGGGCTGCAACTGCCTTGAAACCAGGTAGTACAGCCCAAGGGGCCCTCAAGCCGGGGAAGCAGGGCAACGTGGGTGGGCAGGCCCCGAATACCAAGCCACTCGTGCCCATCCTTCTCTCTCCGCAACCATACCTTCCCTTACTCAATCACAATTTTAACTTAAGTCACTCACTGATCCTTTCATTCCCTGGTTTCCCAGACCCGCCGCCCGGGAGAGCTCGCCGACCTACGTCTCTCGATACTACATTTCCCAGAAAACCGCGGGGACTGTCGAACACTCCAATTGGCCCAGTGGCGCACATCCTGGGCTGCGCGCGCAGCGGCCTCGCCTTCCCACTGGCCGGAGCCGTAAGAAAGGCCGCCCCCATCCCCGGAACCTGGCCTGCGCGCAGCCGACCGCCCTTACCTCAGGACGGCAACGCGGGCCGGCTGCTTCAACTGGGCTGGTGGGGCTGCGGCCCTTCCCCATGTCCTACTTTCACAGCACCTTTCCCCGGAGGTGGCTGAAGCCAGCCTCCATCTGGTCCGCGGAAGCGAAAAGTTGCCGCGTGGGGCGCACCTCCGACGCCGCTCTGGGCGCTCGGGCTGCCGGGAAATATAGTTCGGTGATGAGGCTACTGAGTGCGGAGTCCAAGCAGGGCAGCCCCAGGGTGTCGGCGCCTAATTTTTTTCTCGTTCACATCTTTCCCACCGCCTACTTTCTGTCAGCCTTTCCATCATCCTCCCTACCTCTTTCCCTTCCTGGCTCTGTCACACTGTTCTCTCTTGTTCCATGTCTGTCCCCCGTCCTGGAAACTGATTCCCTTCCGACTGTCAACATATAATTTTCAAAAAAGGTAAAAACAAGCGCGCTCTCCCTCTCTGGAGCACTCCTGTGTCTTTCCCTTAACCCTCCACCCAGGCACCTTCTCTTTGCCTTTCTCTCTCCTAAACTCCAAGAACTCTTCTTTTGCTTCTGTAAATTGTTTCCTGAGCCTAAGAAGCCTAGCTGGCTCACTTCTACTACCTTTGTACCTTTCTAAATAACACTTTCTGATTTTTTTTTTAAATAAACATAAAAACATCCATGGCTGGTGTGGCTCAGTGGATTGAGCTCGGCCTGCGAACCAAAAGGTCACCGGTTCGATTCCCAGTCAGGGCACATGTCTGGGTTTCAAGCCAGGTCTCCATGGCCAGGTGCATTGAGAGGCACCACGCATTGATGTTTCTCTCCACCTCTTTCTCTCTCCTTTCCCTTCTCTCTAAAAATAAATAAAATCTTTTAAAGGAATAGAAAGTGAGGTCATCCATTATTTTTTTTAATATAAGATTTTTTAAATTTTTATTTATTTATTTTTAGAGAGAAGGGAAGAGAGGGAGAAAGAGGGAGAGAAACATTGACCTGCAACCCAGGCATGTGCCCTGACTGGGAATTGAATCCTCGACCTTTCGGTTTGCAGGCCAGGGCTCAATCCACCGAGCCACACCAGCCAGGGCAGGTCATCCATTATAAAAGACTAGAAAGTATTTTTTAAAAAATAAAGGGAAAAGCAAACTCTAACTTTGACTTACTTCACGGAGGGAGCTAGGAGGATGACAGGTGATTCAAGGAAGATGAGAGAAGGAACAATGGAGTTGAAAAACAACACTAAATAAAAACGCAAAAGTTGGAGTAGTGCCCTAGAGCACAGGGGTCGGACAGAGGTGTCGTACAGTCCTATGACACTTAGGACTAGAGTCCTAAGGGTCCTAGAGTCCTTTGGGTCCTAGAGTGTGACACAACTCTAACCCTGGGGATACTTTTTTTATAAGGGACAGTGTGAGCATTTGCAACCTATCAACCTTTACAACTTAGCATCTAAATTCACACTATCTGGGTCCTGATCAAAGTAGTTGAATAGAGTTGCTTGGCTTAGGGAGTTGGGGTTCCTATTCATCTTTTTGTCTCATTGTCAAGTTTTGGGTAAGTTTTCCTAACAAGTCTACCACCAACTCTTTCTGGCTCTATTCTTGCTGTCCCCTTTTCTTAGTCTTTGAAAACTCTCAATCCATCTTATTGTATCTCTGATTTTTGTCTCTTTGTTCTCTTGCCTGTGTATTCCTGGTCCTTGTCAGTCCCTTGAATCTCAGTGTCTACACTTCTGGCCCCTGTGAATCTATTCTCTCCCTCTTTCTGTCCTGTCACCTCCATTCCTTCTTGATCTCCATCCCTGTTGCTAACTATTCTGGCACCCCTGTCTCCCCTGGTGTCACTCCCTGACCCGCTGGATTCTTATCACATTATCTAGCTCAGAGAGAGTAAAGATCCCTCTCTGTTCTTTCTCTCCGTCGGTTCACCTACTGGAGTCTCTCCTAGCCCCTATATCAGTCACTCCCTCCTCCCCTCTACCCCGCACATCTTTACCCAGTCCCCGCCCCACGCTTTACCCCAATTCCCCGCGCTTTTCCGACGCCCTCCACGCCCTTGGGTTGCCTAGGAGACCAATGAAACAGCCCCACAAGTTACCGTGGACATGCACCGACACGCCTATGCCAACCAAAGCAAACGTTGCACACGCGCGCACGGAGGGCCCGGCTGACTACATCTCCCAGAAAGCACCGGGTGGAGTTACTCTTTTTTGCAATCCGGGTGGGTGTAGAGGAATTGCTCCTCCCCCAAGCTCCGCAGACAGTTTCCATGGAGACCCGGGATGACCGAGGGCGGTGATTGGTGCAGAACCGTACTAATCCACTGGAAAGCCCTTAGAGAATTGAGGCCGAGATGGTGGGAGGCGTGCGCGGTCGGGAAGATAGCACCGTCCGGGGAACCCCTGAGAAGCTTGCGCACGTCGACCGGAGCCCCGATACCTGGGTCAGAGGCGGGGAGCGCAGGAGCAGGCGTCCAGGAATGTGACCTGATCGTTGGGAACAACGCTATCCCGGGGAACAGGGTGGAAACAGACGAGGGTGGGAGAAGGGCAAGGAGACGCTGGGGCTGCTGCGTAGAGCATTCTGGGAGATATAGTCCGGCTAGGGAAGGGAAGTCGGCGAATTCGCATGCTCAGGAGCGGGAAAGCGGACCGCTGAGAACTAAGGTGAGGGCGGGGGGCTCTCATCGGGAAAGGCTTGGACGGGAATCGGGGTGGCGGCTGCCTTGCAGGTCCGGGAATACAGGGAAGGGATGTAGGCAACCCTTGCAGGCGGGCCCAGCGCTGTCGCCCGAGGCCGGTCTTTGAGCGTCAAGGAAGGAGACAGACCTTGGAAGCCCCGCCCCTGGTTGCCATGGCGCCACCAGGTCTTGCGTTGCTCCCTAAAGCGGAAGTTGCGCGTCAAAACTGGTAAATGTAGTTCGAGAACATCCGCAGGGTTCGGCTTAGCGATTGTCCAGCTTTCCCCTAGGGTTTTCGTGTTGATCTAGGACCTTAAGGAGCGGAGGGTTGGCTCACGGAATTTGGCTTCCCTCGAAATGGAATCCACCCTCTTAATAAATAAATGTCTTCATGAAGCCCAAGTCCTACAGCCTCAGGAGCAGCAGGGGTGGTGGTCGTCCTTATTAGCAGTTGAGGAAACAGGTTCACAGACACCAGCCAAGGTTATGTGGCAAATAGGCGAGACCGGAATCTTAGACCTTTATTGCAGTCTTCGGGTCCAGTGGTTGCAGGACCTTTCTTTGCAGGCCTCTGGAAACCCCCATCACCTTCTAGGTCTACCTAAGTCAGGAACCCGAGGAGACGACAAGACATTGCATGATGTGATAAGCAGGGCTCAGAGGATGGGGCTGAATTGAGAAAGGATGCCACCTGGGTGTTGAACCACACAGGGGAATTTGGACAAGTGGAGGGAGGCTGCCCTGTGGAACCAAGATGGCAGGTGAATGTCTGAGATTGGGTGGAAGAGTGGATGGTGCAATAATGGACTGGCATGGGGATGGGTAGTGGTGCAGATGCACAGGTGGGGCGTGTTGTGTCATTCACCTGTTAGGAGGAAGGGCTACAGGGCTACAGGGCCAGGATAAGGTAGTGCACATTGAAGGGCAGGCTTTAGGGGAATGAAGAGTGACTTCCAGGCCTAAGAAGTCTTTGCTTGGAGCTGGGGGCTACCAGAGCCTCTGCGGGCCCCGCTAGAGAGACCAGAAACAGGTGGCTCATCCAGGACTAACCAGCCCCACAGGTCACTGGGATGTCCTCACCTGCCTTCTTCCTAGGCAAGTCTGAGGATGGGACAGCACACAGTAGACACTCAATGAGCACTTTGCTCTACTGTCATTGCAGCAGCTTTATCCCATTCGTCCCCCAGGGACAGACACTAGCCTCAGCCCAGACTGTCTTTCTGATGAGGCCCGCAGCACTGGGATCCCCAGGGCACACAGCCCCAGAAGACAAGAGGCCCATCATGGTGAAGCTGGAGGACTCTGAGGAGGAAAAGGAGGAGACGACCCCATGGGATCCTGGCCCAGAGGCTGCACGCCAGTGTTTCTGGCACTTCCGCTATGAGGAGGCAGCAGGGCCCCGAGAGGCCTTGGCGCTGCTCCGGAAGCTATGCCACCAGTGGCTGCAGCCCAAGGTGCACTCCAAGGAGCAGATGCTGGAACTACTGGTGCTGGAGCAGTTCCTGAGTGCACTGCCCACTGAGATCCAGGCCCGAGTGCGGGAACAGCAGCCAGGCAGCCCTGAGGAGGCTGTGGCCCTTGTTGAGGAGCTGCGTCAGAAGCCAGGAGGACCCCGGAGATGGGTGAGGCAGTTGCAGAGATCAGGGTTAACCTGGGGGATGCCATGCTCAGCTAAACCCCTGTCCCTTGTGGTTTGGAGTGGTCACCTACAGCAGACCCCATGCAAGGGTCAAGGACACCGGGAGGGATGCAGGGTGGGTGTCAACAACAGGATAGCAATTGCAGGTGGTTCCTTCACTCCCTGTGCACTCCTTGGGGGTTGGGGATCTCTGGAGGACCTACTCTGTCAGGACCCCTGGAATCCTGTGATGGGGTCTAGCACAACTGCCTGTCTGCGCCTCTGATGGAGAGGGGGCACCTCCCCAGGTCACAGTCCAGGTGCAGGGCCAGGAGGTGCTATCAGAGAAGATGGAGCTCTCTGACTTCCAGCCACTCCTTCAAACCAAGCCTAGGATTACAGAACCTGGGCCTGATACCCCTGGAGCCACACAGAGGTCACCGCTGAGTCTTCATGTGAAAGAGGAGCCCGAGGTTACAGAGGACCCAGGTGAGGGCAGGCAAGGTAGGCAGGGCCCAAGGCCTAACTGAATAGAGACTGGGAGCCTGGCCTGAGCAGTCTGAAGCACACTGGGCCAGTCATCTGGTGGACTGAATCATTCCCATGCATGGAGGCCTCACATCCCAGCCAGCCAGTGGTTGTCATGGCCCCCTTGAATGCCAAGCCTGAGTGCCACAGCTGTGTTTCCATGTGTGAGAGGCATGTGGAGTTCACTGCCCAAGGAGATCTATTGGGGGATGTCATCTAGTCACTGGGGAACAAACAGTAGGCTGGGGTATGGGTGGGTGTGGCTGAGGGAGGACCCCAAAGTACTGGGGGCCTGCCCCTCCCTTGTACACCTATCAGGCAGGTGCTACAGCTGACCACCCACCCACCATTCTTGTGTGGATCCTCATGCAATGCCCCTCTCTTGCCCTCACTATCCATCTGCCCAGGTTTTCTGCAGGCATGCAGGGCACAGACCTGAGCCACCTCCTCCTCCTGCAGCTCCTCTGTGGCCTTCCAGGTTCCCTGCTTTGCTCTACCCTGAGCTGGGCCCTTAGAGCCACCCTGCCATACCCAGCCCCAAGTTAGCACCTAGCTCTCACCCAACCTGGATCCCAGCACCTGGCCCATCACTGAGGGCAGAGGGGTGGGAACAACCTTGGGCTGTCTGACTCCACCCTTCCTCTCCAGAATTTCTGGATTCTGGGCCTCTAGCCAGCCCCCACGAGGCCAATTCCACCCTCCTGCTTGAGGAGGCCCAGGTAAGCCCCACACAAGCCAAGCCTCTGTGGGTGGGGGTCCGGTAGGTCCCTCCCTGAGTCTAGCAAGGCACAGATGAGCAATCACCACTGTGGTTTCAGGGCTGTGGGATGGTGCTGGACCAGGCCTCTCTCCACAGCAAGACTGGGCTTAAGGGGCCCTCATGGACGGAACTCCCTGGGGCCCTATGGCAAGAACAACCTGGGAGCATCTTCTCCCCAGGTAAGATGGGTGTGGTGGGAATGGGTCCTCTGTGTGAACAGTAACATACCTGCCTATCCCACTCCTAGCCCTGCTCTCCCATCCCTTGTAACATCAACTTTCAGCATCTCCTGCCCTCAAAAGCCAAGCTTTCCACTGACCCCATGCTCCTCCAGCTGCTACTCCTCACCACAGTGAAACTTCCCAAGGCCAGAGTCTGTGTTCCCCAAACCCATGCCTCCCATCTCTGTGCCCCCTGGACTCTGTTGACAGCATAGGGAGGGTGAGTGACTAGGAGAACAGGTAGTAGACAGAGTGGGCAGGCAGGAGGGGCCGTGACAGTGGGGATCAGGCAGGACAGTGGGATTCTCACCAATCACCCAGGTGTTCACCCCAGCCTCTCAGTCCTAGCTTGGACATCATCCAGACTCCTGATCTCTTCCTTCCTGTTCCCTGGACCCATCCTTTTTGATTCACTCCCTTGCTTTAGTGGATGTTTCTGAGACACATTTGTCTTACACTTTACATTAGATCAAAGTTTGGCCGGAGAAAGAATTCTTCTTATTAAGTTAGTCACATACCTTTTTTTTTTTAAATCACATTATTAGTGACCCTTTCCCATTTGAAAAACACATCTCAGTGGTGGGAAATGGCTGGAATGGTTTCTTTGATTTCCTTCTCCATTGTTTTTTTAAGACTATTTTTAGAGAGGAGGGGAGAGAAACATCAACATGTGGTTGTCTATTTTGCAGCCCCCACTGGGGACCTGGCCTGCAACCCAGGCGTGTGCCCTGACTGGGATCAAACATGACCCTTTGGCTCACAGGCTGGTACTCAGTCCACTGAGCCACACCAGCCAGGGCTGCCTTGTTTTATTCTGGTTTCTGGAATGCCTGTTCTTTGGCTGTTTATCTTTTCACTCCAATCTTCCATCCACTTGTGTTCTGTTGTCCAGAAAAGTTCATCAGTTGTGTCTTTCAGGCATTGTGTGGAGATGTGCATATCTGCTAACAGTTTTAATTTCCAAGAGTGTTTCATTCCTTGAACATTCATTTTTATAGCCACTTCCTATTGTTTTTATAGTTGTCTTTCCCTAAGGATAGCAGTAAATTGTTTTTTAAGTTTTCTCCTCGTACTGTGGTCTCTGTTCCCTCCAGGTTGTCTGCTTTCGTGTAAGACGAGGGATCACCACCAATCTGATGGCTCTTAGCAAGTGGATGAGGGTGTGGAAAGGACAGGGGGGGATCAGACCCACATATTAGGGAACATGAGCGGGTGTGGGGAGTGTTACTGGATGCCAGTGAAGGATCTGTAGAGCACTCTGCCTGGGCCATTTGGAGCGCACCTTGATCTAATCCTCTTCAGGTCTTACCTGAGTCCTCTCCCAGGAAACAGGCTGGTGTCTCAGCTCCAATATGGCTTCACTTTATCCCACAACTTCCTCAGTAGGGTCTCCCACCTCAACCCAGCCTTTTTGCCAAAAGGGAGAAGAGACCCAGAATCTGAGCTGCAGTAGTGCCCACTGTTTGCTCAGCATTCTGTGCAGAGCCCAGGGCTGTTCTGTGCCCAGCTTCTGCTTATAAAACAGCCTCCTCCACCTGCATGACACTGCTACCCCTGCAAGGCCAGAGGTACATGGTGCCTCCAACTCCTGAATTTTTTTAGTCTTCCTTAGGGTAAAAAATGTTGATATTTTGTTTTGTTTCCCCACTGATTTAGTATTCACCTTCTCCAGTCTGGTACACAGTCACCAACTCATCTGCTTTCCAGAGTAGACACTATCAGGTCTGTTTCCTTTTCTCTTCATCTTTGGGAATCTTATATAAAACAACAACAACAACAACAAAACTTTATTGTTGTTTTACTTATTTCAAGATGGAACAATTTTAAATAGATGGCATTGTTTCCCAAAAGTCACCATCTGCTATGTTATCAGAAAGGAGGATCATTCATTCTTTCTCCATAATGTCTTTGTTTCATAGATGCCGGTCCCTCCTTTGAGGATTTGGAAATAATTTAGTTTCCTTCCCAGGCTGGCTAGCCCAGTTTCCTCAGCTGTGAGTTCTCTCACTGGTTGCACTGTTGACAGACTACCTGTCTGAGTTCTATGAGCTTGTTGCATCGCCCTAGGCAAGGGGCTGCCACAGGGTCCATCAAAACCCTGAGGTGGCCCTGGCTGGTATAGCTCAGTAGATTTAAGTGTGGGCCTGCAAACCAAAGGGTCACTAGTTCAATTCCCAGTCAGGGCACATGCCTGGGTTTCAGCCCAGGTCCCCTAGTAGGGCATGCATGAGAGGCAACCACACATTGATGTTTCTCTCCCTCTCTTCCTTCCCTTCTCTCTAAAAAGAAATAAAATCTTTAAAAACAAAAAAAACCCCGAAGTGAAGGTTCATCTGGTCCCCAGGCCATTCAAGGAGGATACCTCTGCAGCCCAACCAAAAGCAAACAGGTCATTCCTGTGTAGGTCTATGGGCGTACTGGGCTGTCACAGCCCTTGTCCTCAGCCACCAGCTTCAGTCCCTGGGCTTTAAGGCTCACTGTACCAGGCTCTGGATCCCTGAACCTCACCAGCTGGCCTGTCTTGCTTTGGAATTGCCCAAGGTACTTTTAAGTTATGTTCTCCATGTCAGACCTAAAAGCAGGATCTGGTATATGCCCCTTCTGCTATTTAGGTTTCAGCTGCCAGCCAGGCCCAGCCTGTACTGCATGGCTGACCACTTCTTCCAGCTTGGGACTTCTCTCAGTTCACAACCCCAGTCTTTATCCAGCCACACTGGTAGCATACCTTGGGTTCCCTGGTGGATTCCTCCTTTGCAGCCCCATATTTTCCTCAGGCTGCATATGCTGTAGACAACTATAGCTCCCACACTCAAACACAGCTTCCCCAGCCACCTCAGTCTCCCCCATCAGGTCTCCTATCTGTTCCCCTTGCCCCTCAACTGTGTATTTCCTGTGCAGCCAGTTTTTTTTTTTTTTCTTTAAGATTTCTATTTTTTAGAGTTGGGAGGGAGAAAGGGAGAAACATCAGTGTGTGGTTGCCTCTAATGCACCCCCCACTGGAGACCTAGCCCGAAACTCAGGCATATGCTCTGACTGGGAATTGAACCAGCAATCCTTTGGTTTGCAGGCTGGCACGCAGTTCACTGAGCCACACCAGCCAGGATGGAATTCTTATAAGGTTAATTAGCACCTTGCCTCTGGAGAGTTTCTCAGTTTGTCTTTTTTTTTTAACTTAAGTTGTTTTTGATGTGCACAAGTTATTTCCTTTGATATAATTTACCTGCCTTTTGATAACTTACGGGTTTTTCTGCCACCACTGAAGCCCTTGATACTCTGTCTCCTTGATTTGACTTCTTCTAGGCTTCCTATTCTCCTGCCTTGCTTCTCAGTGGCCTTTGCTTGTACTTTCTCCATTACCCAGCATCTACTCCTGAGCTCAGATTGTGGCTAGAGGCCACTCCTTTTCTCCACAGACACCCCTCCACCCCACTCCATTTGATCTCGTGCAGGCCCAGGGCTCCATATGCCATGCAAATACCATAGCACCCAGGTTTGTATTTCCCTGAAGACGGAGCCCCTGACTCTTGATCCCACACCTACATGTACACGCTGTCCCTCAGGTGCCCTGTGGGCATTGAGCAAGGCACATCAGACCCACCCACGTCTATGCATTTGTGGAAACCATCCTCACCCACCTGGTGATACAAGGACCACCTTTGCAAACAGCCCCTCTAGAAAGGTGATGTTTTGCAAACTGAAGTCAGACCTGGAAAGCCTGTACCAAGCTTCTTAGTCTTCCTCCCCATGTGAGATTCTGTCCCTTTGTCACCTCCTGGGGATACCTGCACAGATAAAGTCCCTGCTCCTCTGTCTGCCTCCTTGGTCAGTGTCAGGAGCCTCCAGTTCACACTGTTTACCCAGGGCTAGGATGCTCTGGGCACACAGTGGGTTCTGTCACAAAGGAGTGGATCCCTTTGTGCAATGCAGGGTTTGCGCTCCAGATGGACAGTGTCTCTGCTGGCCCAGGCACTGTGAGCCCCCACCTCCACTGGGACCATGGTGTGGCTGGCCTCACAGGCCAACTCCAGTCACCCTTGCAAGAAGGTGGCTTCTCACATGCACTCGTGCTCCCCAGCGACCCAGGAGGTGAGCAGGACCCCACGGATGAGGATCCCCGCCAGGGTGTGGGCCGAATAATGACCACTACCTGCTGGCCAGCCCCCAGGGGTCGGAGCCGAGGCCGTCCCAGCACAGGTGCCGGGGCAGTACGAGGTGGCCGTTGCGACGTGTGTGGGAAGGTGTTCAGCCAACGCAGCAACCTGCTGCGGCACCAGAAGATACACACGGGAGAGCGGCCATTTGTGTGCGGTGAGTGCGGCCGTGGCTTCAGCCGCAGCTCACACCTGCTGCGCCATCAGCTCACGCACACGGAAGAGCGCCCATTTGTCTGCGGCGACTGCGGCCAGGGATTTGTGCGCAGCGCACGCCTGGAGGAGCACAGGCGTGTGCACACGGGCGAGCAGCCCTTCCATTGCACTGACTGTGGCCAAAGCTTTCGGCAGCGCTCCAACCTGCTGCAGCACCGGCGCATCCACGGTGATCCTCCAGGTACCGGCACTGGGCCCCCCACGCCTCCCAGTGCACCGGAGCCCCCAGGCCCCTTCCCTTGCAGCGAGTGCTGCGAGAGCTTTGCGCAGCGTGCAGTGCTGCTGGAGCACCAGGCTGTGCACACGGGTGACAAATCCTTCAGCTGCGTCGAGTGTGGCGAGCGCTTCGGACGCCGCTCGGTGCTGCTGCAGCACCGCCGAGTGCACAGCGGTGAGCGGCCCTTCGCCTGTGCCGAATGCGGCCAGAGCTTCCGGCAGCGCTCCAACCTCACGCAGCACCGGCGTATCCACACCGGCGAGCGGCCCTTCGCCTGCACTGAGTGCGGTAAAGCCTTTCGCCAGCGGCCCACGCTCACACAACACCTGAGGGTGCACACAGGCGAGAAGCCCTTCTCCTGCCCTGAGTGCGGCCAGCGTTTCAGCCAGCGTCTCAAGCTCACGCGCCACCAGCGGACACACACTGGTGAGAAGCCCTACCACTGCGGTGAATGCGGCCTGGGCTTCACGCAGGTTTCGAGGCTCACAGAGCACCAGCGCATCCACACAGGCGAGCGCCCCTTCTCCTGCCCCGAGTGCGGCCAGTGCTTCCGACAGCATGCCAACCTCACACAGCACCGGCGCATCCACACGGGAGAGCGGCCCTATGCCTGCCCCGAGTGCGGCAAGGCCTTCCGCCAGCGGCCCACGCTCACGCAGCACCTGCGTACCCACCGGCATGAAAAGCCCTTCTCCTGCCAGGACTGTGGCCGGCGCTTCCACCAGAGCACCAAACTCATCCAGCATCAGCGTGTCCACAGTGCAGAGTAGCCAGGGCCCACTGACCCCTCTGTGTCCACCTCAGTTCTCTGTGTGTAGGGGGACACAGAGGGGGACAGAACACCTACCTTGCACGGGTGTTGTGAGGCCTGCCATCATATAGGTATACACAGATTGGCCCAGGGCCTAATCCCCCAGTAGGTGTTCAATAAACAGTAGAAGGAACCTGGCTCTGGATCTCCACACACACAATGCCACCCTACTTGCACCGGTTCCTCTCTAACAATCCCACATATCCATCACTTCCACTGCAACTGTGGTTCCTGACAGCCATGGCCCCCCCTGCAGAAGTGGCTCCTAGCAGCAACTGCCCATGGCTGCGAGGTTCCCCCACTTACTATGATTCCAGTACTGTTAGTTCAGGATGACTTCAACGCACACATCCATGGGTCAAACGAACTGGCAGGGGAGGACCTGGACTGGCTCAGTTCTCCGCAGCCTGCCAAGACCACTGGATGCAATAAAAGTAGCAAACTTGTGCCCAGGAGACCAGATGTGGCCTGGGATGTGCTTGTAAAACTAAACCTGGGAAGACATTCCTTAGATGTGAAAGGCCAGGGCCCCAAATTTGAAGCCTTTAGAAGTATATACATCCATCTGCCAAACCAACCTCCTGAGGAAAAACATGAAGAATGATGTTATAGCCACCCATGAAAGACTATTTCTGCAAAAACAGATAAAGGAAAGAAAAACCACCACTTCTGCAACTGGCCAGGGATACCTTTACAAGCTGGCCAAGTAGCTGGGGGTTAAGAATCCAAGTGCTGCCCTGGCTGGTGTGGCTCAGTGAATTGAGTGCCAGACTATGAACCAAAGGGTGGTTGGTTTGATTCCCGGGCAGGGCACATGCCTGGGTTGTAGGCTGGGTCCCCAGTGGAGGGTGCACAAGAGGCAGACAGGAAACACACATTGATGTTTCTCTTCCTCTCTCCCTTCCCCCTCTCTAAAAATAAATAAATAAATCTTTAAAATCAACAACAACAAAAAAGAACCGAAGTCCTGCTTTGATCAATGTGGCTCAGTTTGTTGGGCATTGTCCCACAAAGCAAAAGGTCAGCAGCTCAATTCCCAGTCAGTGCACATGTCTGGGTTGTGCATTTGGTCCCAGGTTGTGACCTGTAGCAGAGGCAACCAATCGATGTTTCTAACATCAATGTTTCTCTCCCTCTCCATCTCCCTCCATTTCCTAAAAATAAGTAAATAAAATCTCTAAGAGAGAGAACTGTACTATGAGCAAGGCAGAGGGCTTGGATAGAATGACCACTTGGCATCACTTGGCCAGAACCAAAGACGAACCCAGGAGAAGCCCAAAGCATTGGTCATCTTATGAAAACTACAACAGTGCCCACCCAGCCTGTCCCTGGATCTTCTGTACTTGAGCCCATAGTTCCCTCCTTAGCCCAGCCTACCCATGCCACATCTATCCAGTTATACTAACCCCAACCACAACCTCCCAAATCTATTCACTTCTCTCCCCAGCACTACTATGATCCCAGCTGCCAATCTCTAGTCTGGAGGTCCACAGCACTCAGCCTCCCTTTGCCACCTGCTCCTGCCCTGCTGTTTTGAAATGGACAATATCTTCCCAGTGTTAGCTTGCAGGGGCTATGCTAACACCCCCAGGTGCACTTCCACCCTCACTCCTCCTTCCACATCTCTGACCCTAGCTTCCCTCAGGGCCTCTGCATATGCCAAACCCTCTGCTGCCTCCAGGGAGGCTGCAGGCCCAGGGGCTACATGCACCCTCAACACACAAAACACCTGTGCCCTTTTGTCAATTAGATAAGAGTAAAGAAAGACATAGCCACACCACTTCCAACCCAGTCTCCTGCCTCAGTTTGGCCATCCCCTCTCTCTCTGGTCCAGCCCCCATGGACTCCTTTTCCCAGCATTTTTTGCACCGTTGAGTCAAAGTCACAATGTTAGAGACCACACAAGTCCAGTGTCACCTCTCCAGAGAACCTACATGGGCCTGTGGCAGATGAGCTTCAGCAAAAAGCCTGAGGATGGACACATGCACCACGCTAGCCAAAAGGAACTACCCTTGAGTCTTTGGTCACCAACCCTCACGTGAAGACAGCTTTAACAAAAATAACCAGCAAGAACAGAGTGGCTGACAAGAACAGAGTAGAAGATTTAGAGGAGGAGAGCTGAGTCTGGTAACCAGGACCAGTCATGTCTGAAGCCTGAGAACACTGGGATGGTTGCAAGCATGTCAGCTCCAAACCTGGGCTGTCTGAGGATTCTGAGCCCCCATTCTCACCTCAGCACATCGTTCTCAAGGAACTCAAGGGATGATGCTGGGAATGTGCGACTGGGACAACCAGGGTTCTGAAGAGTGCACGTGAGTTGGTGCCATTGAGAATGGAAAGGCTGGAAAGGGAAGCGGTTACAGAAAAACAGGTGGTATCAGTCCACTGGGCCAAAGGACACCAAGGCTCAGCACTCACGGAGCAGAGTCTACGTGGAGACTGCAGCCGGGAAGGTCGACAGACCAAAATTCGATAAGGTGGGAGGAGACTCACTGAGCTGCGGACAGAGGCTGGGGTGATGCCCGAGTCAGGACCAAGTAGGCGCTGGGGATGAGAGCGTCAGGGCGGCTCCGCGGAGGTAAGAAACACGAACCGGGAACTGCGGGGCTTATCCAAGCGCGACCCCAACAGGACCATCGAAACCGGGTCTCCCACAACGCTCCGGGCGGTTACGGCATGTCTTCTCAATGCCAGGAGGGAGCGTGTCGCGTGCGTCACCCTGAGACGGGGAAGGCCTGAGCTGCAGAGTGCCAGCCGCCCGCAACCGCCAGACCCCGGCACGGAAGATCCTCAGCCGCCAGACGGTTTCCGCGGTGACAGTCGAAAATCGCAGAACCGCCCGACGCCACTTCCGCCCGCCCTCCAGGGCACCCTGAGCTGTGATTGGAGGGAGGCTGGGTCCACCCATGACGCTCTGCGCGCCGCCGCTGGAACTCAGGATACACGCGAAAAGTGGCCTCACCCTTCCAAGTCCTCCCCTCACCGCAGAACTCTCCATGGTTCATGACCACTCAGGCACAACACATGTTAGTTAACTCAACTAAAATCTCCGCGAGCGGGCTGTCGGGGTTTGCGCTGGGTCACCCTGTACCCTCAGCTCAACATCCCTGCCTAGTCCCAGGCTACCGCCCGCCGTAATCACAACGCCTCTGTTAGTGACCACCGGGACAAAGGCCTCGTTTGAGCAACCTCCGCCGCGGTCTGGAGTATGGCAAGTGAGAATCGCCGTACCGCTAGTGAAGCAACCCGCATCTGCCCTACTTAATGATGGCGCCCCTTGCCTGGGCTCCGTGAGCGTTCCCGGAAGTGAGCGAGACACGACCGCACCAGCGGAAATACTCGAGCCTAGCCGAAAATACCCGAACTCTAAGCCCCAAAGCTGAGCAACGCTGGGCGGGGACAAGGAGGACCTGCGGCAGTGAAGGCTGCAGCTGCGCAGGCGCACAGAGCAGGCCGGGCGGGAAGAGCCGAAGCGAGCTGGCGGCGGAAATTTCCGAAGTAGTGGGGAGCCCGAGGCCGTTGCGGACCTCCGCGCCGACGCTGCCGCTCCCGCAAAAGCCGAGCCTACTCCAGTACACGGCCGCCGCCGCCTCCCTCCACCTCGAGCCACATCCTCTTCGCGGAGGAAACGAGAGAACGGGCAAGCGGCGCGACCCAGGGAGCCCGTGTCAGCAGCCGCAGCCGGGCCTGAGAGACCGGAGCGGGCGAGGGGGCGGAGAGAGCGGCTGGGTGGGGGCGGGGCCGAGCGAGCCGGAAGCAGCCGAGTGAGCCCGAGCACTGCCGAGCGAGGCCGAGGCGCCGGGCCAGGCCGGAGCCGGACTACGGGAGCCGACGCGGGCCGCGCGGTGGGCGCGGAGCGGCGCGGCAGGCCGGAGGGGCCGCGGCAGCAGAGGAGAAGGCCGCGTCGGCCGGTCCTAGTGGCGGAGGCGGCGCGGGCGGCGGCGGGGGGCCGGGTGGCCGGGGTCCCGGGCCCCGCAACGGCGGCGGCGGCGGCAGCAGGATGATCAAGCTGTTCTCGCTGAAGCAGCAGAAGAAGGAGGAGGAGTCGGCGGGCGGCACCAAGGGCAGCAGCAAGAAGGCGTCGGCGGCGCAGCTGCGGATCCAGAAGGGTAGGGGGGTCAGGGGTGGGGGTGGGGGTCGGAAGTCAGGGCATGGGATGGGGTAAAGAGGGAGTCAGGAGTTGGGTAACGCGCTCTCCTGGGGTCAGTGGTGGCCGAAATTGGGGGGCCGTGGATGTGGAGAGTCAGAGGTCAGGGCCTGGACTTTGGGGTGATGGGAGGATCAGAGGTGGGATAATGCAGTCACCGGAGGGTAAGAGATTGGGGGCACAGGATGGGGCATTTAGGATACTTAGACAGTCTGGTATTGGGGGCTAGGTACTGAGTCTGGGGGTCAGACGAGAACCTGGATGGCAGGAAGAGAACATGGGGATACTAGAGGCCGGGTGCTAGGGATAAAAGTGGGAGAGGATTTTGTGATTATGCTGGGGTCACTGGGAATCTGAGACTCAGATGGGGTGGAGTAGGTTCTGGGGTCTGAGAGTTTGGGTGACAGGTGGTGGAGGAAAGGATGATGGATGCCAGGAGAGTCAAGAGCGGTATAGGTTGGCGGGGCTGGGAACTCACTGGTCTGGGGGTTAGATAGGAACCTGGATTTGGGGTGACCGGTAGAGAGGAGAGCAGAGGGATGATGGAGACCCGGGATTGGTGAGGGGATGTGGGGTATGAGTGGCAGGGCCCTTGAGTTTCAGTGGACAGGTAGTGATTAGCAGAATCCACTAAATAGTGAAAGTTGTGGCTTGGGATCCTGGGATTTGGGATAGTCAGAGGCTCTTGGGGACCACCTGGGCATCGAGACTGTTAGGAGCTGAGATGGGGTCCTAGCTATTGGGTACAGGGATTTGGAGCTGGGAGTTCAGGGAAGTTGGAGTTTATTCCAGGGCAGATGCTAAAGCATGTTTGCATGTTTGGGCTGTGCTGTGGATCCAGAAGATGCTGCTTGGAGACTGGGAAGGAGAAAGTAGGGACAGGGTTGGGGGGTGTGGGGCACAGCCCAGGACAGAGCCCTGGGGTCCTGGAGGAGGCAATAGGATCTCTGCTGGCACCTTCCCTGCTCTGATCACCCTCTTCTCTCCTCCCCCTTCCCTCTCCTTGTGCTCCTCTGCTGTGTAAACGCAGACATAAACGAGCTGAACCTGCCCAAGACGTGTGACATCAGCTTCTCAGACCCAGATGACCTCCTCAACTTCAAGCTGGTTATCTGTCCTGATGAGGTGAGGGCACACTTATCCAGACTCCCAGGCACTGGGTAGGCCATGGCCCCATCTTGAATAGGGAGACCTGGTTCACCTGCCAGGCCCTGCAGGATGGGGGCCTGAGGCCTTTCTCTTCTCTCCTCTCACAGGGCTTCTACAAGAGTGGGAAGTTTGTGTTCAGTTTTAAGGTGAGTCCCAGGTGGGCAGGGGTGGCTTCCTGGGCTGAGAAGGTAACAGCTCTGGCTCCACCCAGGCACTGCCAGGACACTATCCACCTCCCCTCTTTTCCTGGAGCCAGGTGGGCCAGGGTTACCCGCATGACCCCCCCAAGGTGAAGTGTGAGACGATGGTCTATCACCCCAACATTGACCTCGAGGGCAACGTCTGCCTCAACATTCTCAGGTGAAGGCACTGGCCCTCCACTGCTCTCCCCAGTCCTGCCTCCCAGGCCACCTCATGGCCGTGCACTGAATCAGTTTCCATCCCTTCCCTCCCCCTGTGGTCTGTGTTCCTGTGTCTCTTCATTTCCAAGTGTTCTTCCTCATGGCATGACCCTGACTTTCTCCCTGGCTTGTGCCGCTCTGTGCCCTCCCCCTAGCCTCACATCCACACTGTCCTGTGCCCTGTGCCTGACCTGTCCAGTCCCAGCAGGGTCTGTGGCAGCCTCCCACCCACTGGTCCCTGAACCTCATGCTCTCTGCCCACAGAGAGGACTGGAAGCCAGTCCTTACGATAAACTCCATAATTTATGGCCTGCAGTATCTCTTCTTGGTGAGTAGGGTTGGGTGGGTAGGGCTTGGAGAAGTTGGTCTCCCTACCCCTTGGACCTGTTGACCCTCACCTACACTGGCTACAGGAGCCCAACCCTGAAGATCCACTGAACAAGGAGGCCGCTGAGGTCCTGCAGAACAACCGGCGGCTGTTTGAGCAGAATGTGCAGCGCTCCATGAGGGGTGGCTACATCGGCTCCACTTACTTCGAGCGCTGCCTGAAATAGGGTTGGCGCACACCCACCCCTGCCAGGGCCACCAGCCCCGGCGTCCCCTGCAAATATTTATTAGGGGCCACAGGTGGTGGGCATGGGGCAGCAGGTGGGGGAATCCCATGCCCCAGCCTTGCCTCCCCTTCCTGCCACCCGCTCCTAGTTATTTTTTTTTTAACCACCATGTGATTAAGGTCGGCGCTGCCTCCCCACCCCCAACCCCAACCAGCTCAGCGATGGGAAATGAATTGGCTTGTCTAGCCCCCCGCTGGGTGCCGTCCAGCCCCCGCCACTCTGGGTTCTGGGGTGGGTGGCCAAGGGGACTGGGTGGCTGGGGCCCTGCCACCCCAACCCTTCACCACTGGAGGTCGCACCAGGCTATTAAAGGGGAATGTTACTGCATGGCCTCCGCCTCTTCCTTCTGTGGGGTTGGAAGGGGCTGCTGATGTCCATGGCGGGTATATCAGCTTGGGGGAAAGTTTGCACAATCACCGCCGCCACTCCCTTTTGCCATGGGCGTGTGGGCCAATGGAGGAGAACCTTGCCTGGTGCTACCAGGTGCCTGAGGTCCATATACATCAAGGAGAGGGTCAAAGTCCCTTGAAAACTGGGCCAAGTAGTGAGTTACATGATGGGTTGTACGACCTCCGAAGTGTGTCGGGGAAGACCTCGGAAGGTGTACCAACATTGCGGGGTCTCATATTCCCGGGCGTGACTCGGTTTCGTGCGGCGGGACTCGAACTTGTGCACATCTTTGGACTGCTGCGGAGAAACGAAGCTAGTGCGCATGCACTTCGGCGCCGGTCTGTTACAGGGTGTGAGCGCACGCGCGCACTCAGGCCACGCCCCCCACGTCCCGGAGCAGGCGGGGCCTGTGACGCCAGGTCGTTTACTCCGGAAAAGGCGGCGACTGCAGAGGCCACAGAACCGGAGGGTTTGTCGTAGACCACCGCGCCCGGGAACCGAGCAAGAGGCTCGTAACCCGGAAGCGGAAGTGAGCCCCCATCCCAGCTTCGGTGAGTGGCCCCTACCGGGCCTCGGGTCCCGGGTGGGTGCGTGGGCAGCCAAATACGAGGTCCTCTTCACCGGGGCGTCCTGGGACTGTGGCTCACCGTCAGGGTATGCGTCGCCACCTTGCTCTCAGTGCGCAGGGCTCCCACCGCCCCCAGACCCTGGCCTGAGTGGACACCCCCCGCCCATTGTGCAGCCCTCGGTTTACAGGGTTCTCCGATGTCTCTAAATGTACTCTCAGCACAGAGGTTCTCTCAACTTTGAGTCCCCGGATCTGAATGCCGTCCATTCGTTGTCAGCTTAGTACTCGGGGCCTCCACGTATCCTGCCCTCCCATGAGGGACTCCCACTACCCTGACGCTCAGGGTCCCAAATGCCCCAGTTTACCCCCAACCATCCACCTCCCGTCTCCGTCCATCAGAGACAACAGGGCGTCACCCCTATCTGGAGGGAGAGGCGGAAGCCTAGAGCCTACTTGAGGCACTGTGATGAAGGGTCTGGCATAGGATCGCTGTGATGGCTTTTAGGCCTAGCTGTCTGTCTCCACTGTGACCCTAGGACCGCCCCGTTGTTTCCGGTAGCACTGTTTTAATCTTCCATTCACTACACCCTGTCTCCCTGCTCTCCCTTTCCCATCTTGAACAACCCCGCTGGTCCCGCCCCCTCCGTACATTCTGCCTCTTGCCACTTTTTGGGGACCCATGCCGACCATAAGCTAGGTTTCGCACTAGTCCCAGGCCCACCAGCGGGCTCCTGCCTCCATGGACCTGTTGTTTGGGCGCCGGAAAACGCCGGAGGAGCTGCTGCGGCAGAACCAACGAGCCCTGAACCGCGCCATGCGAGAGCTGGACCGTGAGCGACAGAAGCTGGAGACCCAGGAAAAGAAAATCATCGCAGACATCAAGAAAATGGCCAAGCAGGGCCAGATGGTGAGCTCAGTTGGGCAGGAGCTGGGACACAGAACTAGGTGCTATTGCGTGGTCAGGCACTGCTATGACAGCAAGCAGAAAGGGACACCAACAAGCAGGTGTTTTGAGTGAAATGGAGTGAAGGGTGAACAGGACCTTCCTAGTTTGAGAGTCTATAAAGCCTGCCTCTTGGGAGGTGATATCCGGGGCAAATCTTGAAGAATGAAGATAGCCAGTGGAGATTGAAGCAGCAAGTACTAGATAAGGAAGTGTAGGTGAGCTCATTTGAAACAGACAGGGTTTACTGCAGGAGACAAAGCCTGGAGTACACTCTGACCTGCAGGTGGAGAGGACAGCTTGCATGAACCAATAATGAGCAGAGCCTGTGGTTGGTGAGGAGTTTGGGCCTGAGCAGCTGAGTTGAGGAAGTGGTGCCATTTCCTGGGATAGACAAGGCCAGGAAGAGGTTTAGAGAGTCAACAGCTGAGCTTTGGGTAAGTGATGTAGAGGGGGAGGAGGGAGATTCTTTGGCCATAGTGAAAATTCAGGAATGGGTGTTTTAAAGCAAAGGAGGGACTCCTGCCAGGGGGTCATAGAAGTGAGCAGCTTAGAGGAGCCTGGAATGGCTGGGAGGGAGCAGTGAGCGATTTAGCCACAGGGAATTCTCTGAACACTTCCATGGGAATGGTGGCTCCCTGCCACCTTTGTCCCCTCCTCAGGATGCTGTGCGCATCATGGCAAAGGACCTGGTACGAACACGTCGCTATGTGCGTAAGTTTGTGCTGATGCGGGCCAACATCCAGGCTGTGTCCCTCAAGATCCAGACACTCAAGTCTAACAACTCGATGGCGCAAGCCATGAAAGGCGTCACCAAGGCCATGGGCACCATGAACAGACAGGTGTGTCTCTCCCCAAACCCATCACTACCAGCCCCAACCTCAGGGACCATACTCATCCTCCCCCCACTTGCAGCTGAAATTGCCCCAGATCCAGAAGATCATGATGGAGTTTGAACGGCAGGCAGAGATCATGGACATGAAAGAGGAGATGATGAACGACGCCATTGATGATGCCATGGGTGATGAGGAGGATGAAGAGGAGAGGTTTGTGGAGAGGTGGGGGCTGGAGGTAGAGGCCTGGCCCTCAGGGGGACTGACTCTCAAGAGTTCCCTCTCTTCCGCAGTGATGCTGTTGTGTCCCAGGTCCTGGATGAACTGGGACTGAGCCTGACAGATGAGCTGTCCAGTGAGTGCTACAAACCTTGAGCCTGGTTCCCCATACCCCTCCCCCATCCCCATTGCTGCTCCCTAGCATCTCTAACCCTCTGTCTCCACAGACCTCCCCTCCACTGGAGGCTCCCTCAGCGTGGCAACTGGCGGGAAGAAAGCGGAGGCCGCAGCCTCAGCCTTGGTGGATGCTGATGCAGACCTAGAGGAACGCCTAAAGAACCTGCGGAGAGACTAACAGCCCCAGGCCACCCCAGGGGCCCAGTCAATGCTTTTTCACTGCGCCCTTTCTGTAATAAAAGAGATTGGACACTAGTTCCTAGGCCTGTGTAGCTGGCCTCTTGTGGGCCAGTCTGGGGTCCCTTAGGAGTTACTCTCAAGGCTCCACGTGGGTCAGTCAGCATGGATATCAAGGGATCAAGTACCAGATGAGTTGGGTGCAGGCTGGAATGGACTAACTCCTCCCAGGAATCGAGTATGTGGGCCTTAACCCTATTACCCCAAGATGGTGCGTTCCTGGAAACTTAATCCTATCTGCCAGGGACATACTTCCCAACTGAGCTTGGCAGAGTGGCAGTCTCCCCACCCAGCTCACATAAGTGGTTACAACCACTGGACCAGGTCCAGTTATGTCTCACACAACTGAGGCTTCACCCTGCACAGCCACAGATCTGTGACAGCCCACTTATAAGGCACAGCTTTTCTTAATTTGAGAGATGTGTGTATCCTCCCAAACACCTGGTGTTCATATCACTGAAACCAAACTGGGATACTCCTCCCCACTCCCTGGACATGCAAATGGCTGGGGGAAAAGTGCCCATATCCCTACTCAGCCCACCTGAGTTCGGGGAAGCAAATACAGGCAGAGAGCAGGTCCTAGGAACACTGCCCCCACTGACCACGGCCCAAGAACTTGTGAAGTTTTTATTAAATCCACAGAAGTAAAAACCGTATTGTGAGGGGCTGGGAAATGGGGCTACCAAGGAGTGCGAGCCAGGCCACCAGAAGGAAAGGATGGGGTTGAGAGAACAAGACCCAGGCACGCTGAGCTGGCCCAGGGGGACCAGCTTCAGGGGCCATCACCAGGACCACTGGACAACTCTTGGGTACTCAGGCCTGGACCAGGCAGGCTCAGCGGTGGGGGCTCCACCAGCACAGCTGAAAACTTGGTGTCACCAAAGGCCTCATTCATGCGAGTCTCGAAGAAGCGCTGCAGGCCGATGATGGACTGCACATCCGCCTTGTCCTGGACAGGCAGATGGAGGGGGTGGTTCCCTGATCTCCCCTTTGCCCCTGCCCCAGGCCCAGGCCCAGGCCCAGCCCCAGCCCCAGCCCCAGCCCCAGCCCCAGCCCCAGCCCCTCCACAGGCTCACCTCTGTCAGCTTGTTGAACTGCTTAAACATTCGACCCACATCCTGTGCAAACTCTTGAGGCGAGCTGTAGGGGGGCGACAACTTCTCCTGGAGACGGGCACGGATCAGCGTCAGGTCCAAGGTACCACCAGGTTGATCCTACAGGCAGAGACCACAGGATGAAGGTGAGGCCTGGCAGCCCCTGCCCCCAGCCCCCCTCCCCCAGGTCCCAGGACTTACCACAGAAAAGCTGGAGTCAGTGGCCAGCTGGTGCAGAGGACGGCAGGGCTCATGGCAGAACAGGGCCAGCAGGACACGCTCACACTTCTGTAGACGGTTGGGGGAAGATGTCAAAGCCACTGGGGGTGGGAGTTTGCGCAGCTGCTGGGCAGCCAAGGGAATGGCCCAACCCTCACCTGCTGGTTGGCTGGCGAGAGCTTGGCCACCACACCACTGCTATCGCCACCATCCAGGCTCAGACTGCCATCCTCCTCCTTCAGATCAGGTGGCACGTGGCAGAGTGAGCAGCTCCACTCCTCCCTACAGGAGGCAAGAGTGAGGAACTGTGCAGATCTGGCACACCCCCACCCCCTAAGCACATCCAACAGCCTCGCACCCTGGCACATCCTGCAGGGCTGGCAGGTGGCAGTCCAGGTGAAAGCAAAACTCGCACTGGTTGCACATGACCAGGTCGCCTGGCTTCTGGCAGACACGGCATATGGTAGCACTGTCATCCAAGGCACCTGGACCACCAGTTGGGGCTGAAGTGCCCTCTGGAGCCACCACCTCCAGGCCAGAGCTAGTGCTGCCACTGGGTGAGACCAGGCGGGGGCCCTCAGCACCCGGGCCCTCTGCCAGGGTCATCAGCACAGGCTTGGTCTCAGGGCCTTCAGTGGCTGCAGGTGGGGCTCCAATAGCAGCCTCTGTCTCTTCCTCCTGAAATGAAATGCTAGGGATTCAGCAGGTTTCTGACTTACGCAGATGTCATTTATTTTCCAGCAACAGTGACTTGGGGGCAGACTCACCTTGACAATGGCCATGCCAGGGAGGGGCTGGGCCCCAGGGGCCCCGGGCGCAGTTCCAGGCTGTCCAGCAGCTGCAGCTGCAGCCCCACGCTCAATAACTATCAGGTTATAATCCTCAGTGGTGCTGCCTGGGAAGACCTTGAAGACTGGCGGCTGGCTGTCAGCTGTGAGGTCAAGATCCAGGCGCTCCAGGCTCACCCGTGGCACCTTGCGCATGAGACCACTCACTTCACCCTCACCTGAGCGGGACCTGTGGACGTGGCTTGGTGTGAACACCCTATCCATTTGGCCACCCAGCTCAAAAGGACAGCCACACTCACCGTTTCATGCCTGACACGTGAGGCTCTGCACTCATGTAAGGATCATCTGCTAGAAACACAGAGGACGACACAGTGGGTAGGAAGGTAGAGTTAGCACACTGGAGCTATCCCCCCTACTGGCAGATCAGATTCACTCACCTGACACGAAGCCATAGCCTTCCTGCACGTCCATGGGCTACGGACAAAGCAGGTTGGACCTGAGTGGGCAGGTGCCCCAGAGACCAAGCCCCACTCCTCCCTCCAGAGTCCCCTTCCCCTGCTCACCTGGCTACTGCCAGAGCCCTGCTTGCTTAAGGGCCCTGGAGCCCGTGGAGGAGCCATGGGCGCAGGGCCTGTTGAGTTGGTGCCAGGGCGCTCTGCCACAATCTTGCCTGCGAGAGGGAAACAGACATAAGGCACAGTGCCTGGAGAGATGGCAAGTGCAGCAAGGGGAAGACCAAGACACACCAAAGGCCTCAGCGCTCTTGGTCCAGGCATTGAGATCCCACTGGAACTTCATCTCGCCATGTGGCTCCACAGGGTCCACGATCATCTTGAGGGCCCGGTGCAGCTGGAAGTAGATCTGGGGGTGGGGCACTGTATGAGCTCCCAGATAGTGAACAAGACACCAGGATGCTGGCAGCACCTGCCTATAGCCCATCACCTAGGTATGCCCAGCACACACCAACTTCTTGGACAGCAGAAGAGCAGTATTGTTGTCACTCTCCAGGGCCCACGAGGCGAAACGCAGGATGTGCTCCTGATGCTTTTGGATCTTGGTCATGGTCCAATGCTGCCGCTCCAGGCGCTCCTGCTGCCCCTCTGTTACCTTCTGTGAATATGAAGAAGCGGCATCAGGAAGCAAGAGGCCCCAAGGATCCCTCCCCACATAAGGAGGGCATAAGCAGCCAGCAGAGGATGCCAGTCCCCAGGACCCTCCCTGCAAGTGTACCTGGGCATCATTGACCAGCACCCGGCCGCGCTTGTTCAGTTCCTTCATGATCTGCAGAATCGCCATCTTAACATCCACCTGTACACGCTTCTGCACATCAGACACTTGGCGGATCCTGGGGTGAGGGTGGGCCAGGTCAGGTCCAATCAGGCAAGTGCTCACCTGGGGACACCCCCATGGCCCAGGCATCCACTTACGAGCTGCGAACCTCCTTGGTGTTCTTCTGCAGTGTCGCATGCTTGTCCCCAAGGCGCTTCACAAGCGAGGCCAGGAGCTTGCGCTGGTTCCTCACTGCGTCCTCCAGGAACTGGTATCTGAGGGCAGACAGAGATGGGCCTGGGCATTGAGCATGGGACCGGGCAGAGCCCCTGCCCCTGCCTCAGGACTCACTGGTGGTCCTTGTGGGCGTTGAGCTGGCAGTCTCGGCAGGTGAGGGTGTCACAGCTCTCACAGAACAACACGAGGGGCTCGTGCTTGTGCACATTGCAGTACACCGTGCGCTCGCCATCTCGGGACTTGGCTGGCCCTAAGGAACGAGTACCATAAAGAGAGAAACTCATGCTCAGTCCCTCCAACTCAGGGGGTCTCACTCCCTGCCTGTCCTGCAGCCCTGAACTATCTATTATGAAACGTAGAGGGCCCTGGCAACCAGATCTTTCTTCTCAAAACTCTCCAACCCAAGCCTAAACAAGCGACCACGCACCCCCTACCCCCAACAAATCCATCTCCCTTTCAGCTCAGGCTGTGACAAAGTGTGAGGATCATGGCTTGGGGACCACCCCTTGCTGTTCCTCTACTGGAGTAGTCTCCAGGGACACTGGAGAACTTCTATGCCTCCAACTCCACACCACCCCACCTAGGCCCCTTTCACCTGCACCCACAGCAGATTCTGTCCAACAGAGGAGCAGAATCTGGCTAGTGCATGTCCCAGGACAAACAATATTTGCTCTCTGGTACACAGAAAGCAAATCAGGGCCTAGACTACCATCCAGACAAGTTCCTCAGGAGCCAGGCCTTGTGATCCTTCCTCTCCCCTCTGTTAAGAGGCCATGAACCTCTTAAAACCCACAGACCCTTCAGAGCCTTTTCACACTAAGTGATGAGATTATCAGACCAGGACCCTCAGAAAGGTGTCAGGACCCCTTCTCACTGTGGGGGAAGGTGCCCAATTAACACCCAAACAACAAGACACCATGTAGATACCCTCCTGTCCTGCCTCAGAGTCTGTCACCATTAGAATGCTGCTTGGAAGTCCGTTCCTCTTTCCTCTCCAATCCCCAAAGCCCCCTGGCTACACCAGCCCAGACTGAGCTATACGACATTGAGACAAACCTGGCTTCGGCTCCTCCAATATTGCCTTCTCTTGCACCCTGACCCTTCCCTAAAACCCAGAATTACCTGTGGACACCTGCTCTTCCCTCCTGGTGCTTCATGCCCCACAGCCACCATCTCCATCCTCATCTTTCCACCAGTACTGTCCTCTGGTCTGGAGCAGCCGTGATACGGCTACCAAAAGGCCACTCGTGGTACGATGCAGACCAAAAATCAAGGCGGATTCAGAAAGCTGTTATAACCATCTTCGTACCACTGTCAGCACATTTACAGATACATCTGGAAACCTGGCACATACACCCTAAAGATAAACCACTTCCAGAATTCACGGTCACTAAGGACCTAAAGGCTCTCC